TTTAGGGAGAAGAGGTAAGTCAGTTGACGAGGTTATGAACCTTCATCGACTGAGTTGGTTGAGACACGTACTACGTATGCCTGGTCACCGATTGCCTTGTCACACAATGTTGGCTGAGGTGGGTCTAGGCTGGTAAAAGGCCCCAGGTGGCCACACTAAAACATGGCACCAATGTATGAAGTCTCTGACTGTTGGTTTGAGCCATGTAGGGCGACGCAGACTAGGTGGTTGAGGTCCGCGGGACAAGAGGAACCAGTGGTTGGAGACCCTAGGTGATATGGCTGAGAACCGATGTCAGTGGCGCAAATGTATACACACATTATCCTCATCTTAACGACGCTATACTGATTATCACCATTTTGTTATTCTTCCTTTCTTTCTAGTCGTACTTTATATTTCTTCTGAGTGAATTTTCTTATTTTCATCTTTCACCTCTACCTTTCTACTTGATGAACTGACGTGAGAAGTGGCAACTCGGACCGTTACGCAGTAATGCCTGGTCCTATGTTGATATTGATGATGATGATTACTTTCGTTTTAAAGTTTTCTATTTTTATGTTTAATAAAATGTTTTAGTTCAAGTTCAATTTTTATGCTGATAATAGCAAAGAGGAAACAAAAGGGCTTGACGGCACAACGTATTCGGACTCGATCCGCTCCTTCGTTTTGACTGATGGTAAGAAAAGTAATTTCTATCAAACTCCTACAGGCGATCGGAATGTTTTGAACTTGCCTACAAATACACTCAAAGTTACGAATCATTTGAGTAAGTTATATTTCTTCTATGTTTGCAATACGCGCCCGCTTTTAACATGTAGTCTTTCTGGTTATTTATCAAACTTTATTCTCCGTTTAGTAGCATTCCCAGTGGGCTTGATATCATCATGCTAGACCCGTTGCATGCAACTTAGTACATGCATGCATTATATGATAGTCGTAGTACTGAGCCCAGGACAGAAATATTGTGCTTCCTAGTAGGGATTCGACTAATTCCTTTTTAGAAGTAAACTCCCATGTGTAAATGCATACATCAGGCAATGA